TATCTCCTCCGTTTGGAAAATGTTGGGAAACAACGGCATCGATAACGCAATTGCAAGCGTCTGAGACAATTCTCAGGTTGGTTAATCGGTTCAGTTAATCTGTTCAGTGTATAATTATGGAAAACAGCCGACTGAAGTTAATCTCGTTACAGAGGAAATAGTTTTACGTGTTAACCGTGGTTGATTAACGTAGATGTCAGGGTGTTGTTATTAATGACAACCAAGTATATATCGGTTGCATCTGAGAGTGAATCTACGCATAGTATCATTTGCAAGGAATTGCTGACAAGCCACAAATTGCCATCGGCACTTAGCAGCACATTGATCTATGTCGTTGAAATTATTTATCACATCATAACACCCGCCTTTAACTTGCACCTCTTTGAGCAGCTTTGCGAATAGATAGAATAGGAGCAAAGACACCTCCTCTTGTACACATAATTCAGATTGTTTTCCAGCGGAAAATTGTTAATTAAGTTATTTGAATCATTAGAGCCATTATAAAGTTATCTCTCAGATAAGAAGTTACCGCAGGCAGCACATATCTTTGAAAAAACATCGGTCGCAAAAGTAGCTTACCTGTGGGACAATACAGACTACTCAGTAAATTAAATCGATCCCTACATAGGAAAATGATAACTAAGCAAACATTAGTTGCATTTAAAGCCTAGCTGAGGTTTCGGGGACGGCTCGTGAACGGAAGCATTTTAGGGATATTTCAGAGGTTAGCGAGGATTTTAGACGAAACTGACACTGGGCATTCATTCTCCCTGTCTTTACATTTACAAGAGTTTGAGCGACAATTCCTAACCATCTAAGAAATGCGAATTGATAAAGAATGGATCCTCGATTAATTTGTTAACAAGATAGGCGAATCCAGCATGTTGGTGCAAGATGAATGACAACTGCTTGAGACTGCAAATGACAGTGTCCTTAAAACTACGTTCGAGACAATAACTCTGCTGTTGTTATGCATTAAAGTCATGGCGGATTATCCTTCAATTACCAACAAAGCACTTACATCTTCGTTGGCATTTTGGACATCCTATGGGTGTGAAGCGAGATTTTCTGCAGTTACAGCAACCAAAACAAAACAACGGAAGAAACCGGATAGAAGCAAACCACTTCGGGTATCATTGTCTAATAGTACCCCCAGATGAAACAGTGTAGTTGCAGAAAATCAAGCACAGGGGTTGCATTGGTTTAGCCTTCTAGTGAGTTAACCTGTTAAACCACTTTACATAATTTTTTGGCTTAACTGTATTTTTAGTTTATGGCACGTACAAAAATAAGGAAATTAAAATTATTAAATCAAATCATTATAAAATATAAAAAGTCAACCAGCTGCTCAGAGGGTGGCGGTAATATTATCAAACGTTGCACTGCCCGTGGCGATCGAAACGTTGGGAGCCACTTCTCTAACCCGTCAGTCGTACTCAGTGCTGAAATACCGCGTTGCACCTTACGAAGCCCCTTAACATGCCTGTATAAGAGTTTGCGGTTCGTGCAAAATCTCTTAACTCCTGCCGTTGCGTCAGCTCGTCTTCTCGGAGCAAACTCACACAGAAGTTACGCTGCGTCACATAGACTGTCCAGGTTTCGGCATTCGGGGAGTCCTGTGTGTTCTCCATGCTAAGTCCCTCAAGGATTTGCATTTGTCTGTTGTGCTCCTCAGGTATGACTTCCTTCCCCTTTGATGATGGAAGGATTTCTACACAGGCGCGTTTGTTACCAGTGTGGTAAATCTCGTTGTGAATGTGTCCTAGGCGAGTTCTGGGGGCATTCATTTAAGAAGGTCAGAGATACATCTTTAACAAGCGCAGATAGCACGTTGTAGTGTGTGACAGTATGCACTTATTTATCCTTTTTCTCAGGGTGTTCCGCGTAACATCCATAGTTAGACAATAGAGTAACATAGTTATTGGGACCCAGTGCTGTGCTAATAATTATTCCTTTGGCAATACGTTCTTCGTTGGTGAGCACAAAAGCAAGTATCGACAGCTTGTTGGCAGTTCGAAATCTCTTGGGAGACGTCAAGTGATTGTACCTAGGGTAGCTGGAAATTACATCCTGTATACAGGCTTTCAACTGCATGTTATCGGTCGCCGCTATGTTTAGATCGAGCATATAAAAGTCGCGGGCAATGACAATGTGACTGTATGTCATGCTCAAAGCAACCTTAAGAACGTGGTTTAGTTTGGAGTCTATTTCACACGAAAGTTTGGTGGTCGGTAACTCAAAGCTATAAGACATGTGTCTATGTTCCGCAATCACAGTCGGCACCAAAGCGAATCTAAGGCACGAATCTCTGGGTGGTCAATAAGTTCACATCGGAGGTTAGTCTGGAAATACAGAATTTTGTCACCACCCATTCTAGCTCCCTCATTCCGAAGCAGTGACACATCAGGTAAATTTGCTTCAGGATCTTGTATCACAAGCCTTAATCAAGTCTATGTAATCATAATGGGATCCCGACGTTGTGACGACTGGCGTTCTCTAAGTGCGGTCAAATTACTAGGAAGACCTTGTTCGTTGGGACATAAACATGATGGTGTTTTTGTGGTTAGAAGTGTGTGAGTGGACAACAAAATTGTGTTTGTTACTACGAAGACTTTTGGTTGGTCGGCCGCTATTCGTTGTATGCTTGAGTCGTTGGTTCTTGAATTCCAGGCACGCTGAATGGCATCATAAAGCATCCAGTTCGAGATGTTCACTCGGGTGTCCCCCTGTCTTGTCAGATGTCGCTAATGTTTTATTGTCCATAACTCTGCAGGATTGTTGAGGGAAAGTTTTCTGAGGTTGCATGTTCCAGTTAATCGCTGAAAACTAGAGCCTCCTTGCGACTTTTATCTTTAGCCTAAAATCTGTAGGCAACCAAGAGCGATGTTTCAACCAGTCATCCAATAGGACGTCTGTTATTCCATCGGAGTTTAGTGAGATTTTCAATATTTTTGGACCGCAGCCCACGTACTTTGGCGATGAAGGAATTCACGTTAGTGCTTTGGCAATTATGTGGTCCAAAGAAAGTGTTTCGCGGAGGAAACACTACTGCTCTCATTCATGATTTTGCGCTTCGTAATCATGAGAGTCTAGTCTTTCAAGAACATCATAAACTAAAATGGTATTCTTACATTGGTTCATAGAAAAGCCACCATGGTTCGCTTTTATCTTTGAACTTCACTTCCAAGAAATAGCTGGTAATATGCGTACCCAGCCAGAAGAGCTGCGAAAATGAACTGCTGAAATTAGGACTATTTCTATCATCTCAGTTAAGTTCAAGGTTACTCGAAGAAATCGGGGTTTGCTTTAGTGCACTAAATTTGGGTGACGCGCTAAACATCGTAGACCAGTTGGCTCAATATGAATATCAATCGCATCGCAGATGGCATACCACTGGTTGAGATCATCTAGCTTGAGAAGTGAGTCCCATGTGCACCAGCCTAAAGCAACCACTGATGGTACTCCAACAACCCTAACAAAAATGTATTGAAGAGGCACAAAAAATAGTTAGCAAACATTAGAAGGTAAATTGTGTGTTCAGATACGCTGCTGAAATATGTAGTTTACAAACTATGGATAAAAGCTTATAAATCCCTCTCAGCGAAAGGGTTGAGATTTGATCTCTTCGAGTTTCTTTATTTGAACCTCACAATTAATGATTTATGTACACTTTTCTAGGTTCCGCTAACTGGTGTGTTACTCTTGCGCAACTACTGCCTAACCAAAGGATGTGGGATAGTTATTACTACCATTTCAACCTAGAATTTGATCGCGTTTACGAATTAAAAATTCAAGCCACAGTGACATTACTGTGCTGCCTATGCTTAAGACAGGTTGATATATGTTTAGTGGCCATTGTATACAGCCATACTCTAGTCCGCTTTAGAAGATAATATTTTCCAGTTGCCCCTATGAAAAACCAATTGGCACAATCTTACAGCCACTTTCTTCTGCATGCTATGAAACGCTAACCACAATCTGTGAAAAATTCAAAGCAAAACTTGCAGACAACTTTTTAGTTTCAGTCAATTGACTCTTCCAACGAGTTCCAGAAAAAGGGACAAACAGATCAGCTAGTACCTTGATTTTAACGAGGCAATCATTGTAGATGCAGTAACTGCAAGCGCTCTTATAGATAGCAGCGAACATGTGACACCACGTTAAATCTATATGTGTTTCCCGGGGTATCCTAAGATTGCTGCAAGGAATCTCACGTCTCGTGCAAGTATGATACTCTGTAGAAACACATTTTTGCAACAGGTGGTTCCTTCTACGTCAATTAGTCTTTTGAGGCGGTCTGGTAGGACTGTGTCAAAACAATTCACTATGTTATGGTTAAGCCACTCCTAAACCAAAATTTATCACTGCACAGAGTTTAAGCTACTTTAGATTGAAAGAATTGGAATTTTCGTTGCATTGAGGGCCACGGATAAGCACGTGCATATTGCTTCTCTGAGCAAGGACAACTGAGAGGTCTATACATACTAAATGAACAACTGGTCAAAATCACCCAGGATGATAGGTAAAATGCGAAAAGGATGTTGCAAATTGATTTCGCTCTAACCCCAACCTGGCTTAATAACTAGTGAGCACAAACTCAGTATATTCAAGCTCATTATTACTGCTCTACCTACAGCTTCTGAGCTAACACAATTGTCACAAGAAGCGGTCAACATTTTTGACAACTGAATAGCCTTTCCATCCGACGTATATCTTTATCTCGCATTTC